CGGTCGCGCTACGCTACCCCCGCCGTGCGAGGACGCGTGTGCGAGAGCGCGCGTTGTGTGCTGTGCTGCAAGACGCCCCCCCGCGCACGGGCGTAGCCTCCGCCGTGCCGCCATCGTGCCAGAGATGCTCGCGGGAATGCTGGAGCCGTACGGCTGTTGGACGCCGCATCCACGATTAGAGGTATATTCCGCTGCCGAAGTGTTGTTTTTTTTTCTTCTTCTTCTGCGTTTGTACTTTCGTTTCGCCTTGGTTTCGGGTGGAAGGTCACGGAGTCGGGCCGCGCCCGCGCTACTCTCTCACTCCTCATCTTTGTCTCGGGAGTTGGGAGTGAAACCATTTAACGCTCTTGGAATATTTTCTAAGAATATATTACTTGCACAAAAACACTCACAACACACGTGGTCGATTCTTCAAACAATTATGTTCTGAATATGTATTGATTTTTTTAAGCAAACTCACTACTAGAAATAATTTGTAATGAAATAATCAAAATATACGAAATAATAATATTACGAGCAACTCATCAAAATGTATTTTCCCTAAAATTCATTTCGCTTTGTAGGGACTTTTTTTAAACTTTCCGGACGTACACCAAAACATACCGAATCAAAGAATATTAATGAAGAAAATATAGTTATCATGAAATTAAATCCTGTGGTATGCCTGTTTCATACGAAAGTTGTCCGCGTTTTGCTCTGTTGCTTTTCAGTTTTTCGAAATACATTATTAAAATTGTTCACCTCTATTAAAACTCTCGGAGTAATTTTGTTCGTAGACGCTAGAGGAACAGCCAGAACAGCGCACGATCTCCGTGACTTTCATCGGCGGCGTTAAGTTTCGCGGCCGCGATCGCTCGCGTCTTTATCAAAGCTATGCCATTCACTGGTGTCCGAACGCGTGGGGATGCCCAAGACGTTCAACCATCAGGAAGGAAAGTTGTTCATACCGAGGTCAATTGGGGGGGCAGGAACGCAAACGAGAAGTTGAACGCGGCGAAAATAAGTTTCGCGCTCTGTCCTTCTAATATTAGGATATAATAATCGTACGTTGTTTGGAAGCCCCGTGTTATGACTTTTTCTTTTAAGAATACGCTTTACTTTGTTGGAGATTGAATCTCTTTTAATTTTGTTTTAGGTTTATAAAAATTATTAACAAAATGGAACTTTCCGAAACTCTCAACAATAACTATTGCTTAAGAAACAGCTATTATACAGTTACTTTAATTAAAATTACAAATTTATTCGAATTGCAACTTCATTCTATGGTAAAATTATTTTTTTAAGATTGGTACACGAAGAAACCTATAAAAAAATTTTGAATTATTCAATATACACTTTTTCTGGACAACTTATTTCATTTCCTACTCACTAGTAAATTTATCACGTGCATATACATTTTCTTCTCTTTCAAATCCGTTACTGCCTGTAGAGAAATTGGTGACCCGTCTCCATGCAGGTTAAAAGGCACTCTTGTGCTTTCCATGATACCAATTAATTTTGCCCTCTCATCGTTTTCATAATTATTCCAATTTCATCGTCATCGTCGACATCTTGGGTATCATCATGACTTGACAATGTTGGTGACCCGTTGTGGATACCTACTTCCTCCGTCGCGGAACCTAAGCACGTATTTGTTTACGTGAATGTCTAAATAATTAATCAGTCGAATAATTTGGAAACTTTTAATTATTCCGTATAAATTATTAGAAATTTGATGTTTGGTATCAACACGTTTCCTTAGACCTCACTAATCACTACGTTAAGAAGAATGTGAATTTTATTATTTTGAAGATTTTTTGTCAATACGTATTTTATTCAGATTTCCTGATTTCGACAAGTTCAGATTCTCACAGATTTTTCCTATGTAAAACACGTTCTTCAGACGATGCCACCTGTGGCGCCACGTGCGTTACAGAATCATGCGCAGCCCTGACTGTCACAATAACACACTACATGCCCTTAATTTGTATATGTTTTGACATTGTTTGGTTGGCTTGGCTTTGGGTGAACATAGTTGGTTGATTATCTAATAAATCATATTAACTAATTTTTATTAACTTATTTGTTTCTTGTACCGCTCAGAGAGTAATGGAGCAGAGCAATCAGACACGCGCCGACTATATGTGAAACTGAGCGTGGGGGAAGGGTGATTCTGGATATAGCGCATCTCTTCTCGAGCACGAAATAGTTTCTGGGCGCATACGATTATCTGCTCGAAACGTGAAACTATTAGGTTGTAATTCTAGATGAAAGATCTCTTATTGTGACTGAGATAGTGAAGATGCCCTCCATGTAATTTAGAGTATATAATAAATTTGATTTCAATTGCCTTACCGAAAATAGATGGTAAGGAGTGTTAACGCGTTGTTTGGATGATTATTGGATGCTATGATGACTATAATGCAAATTGAATGATGATTTAATGGGGATAGAGCAACGTTGAGAACGCCAGGTAAGGGAAACAGAGAAACACTCTATTTGAAAATGCTTTATCCCCACAATTTCAACAAGGATTTGACTCCCGATTTCAGAAATAGTGTTTTACGTAAGAATATTCAACTGGGGTGAGACCACTTAATTTAGAGGTGTGAACAATTTTTAGGTCTTGATGTACAGAAACACATATGGTTGTATGCACCACATATTGAATCCCAGCACGTCTTTCTTCGCGCCAGAGGTGACAACGCATTTCTGAATTTTCCGCTGCAGGTTGGGTAATGGGTACCCCTATGCCGTCGGACAAGTGACAGACCAGTTTTTAGGTTGTTTAAGACTAACTTGTGAACACATGGACGTCATTTGAAATTTACGTGATTTTGATATAACTACCCTTTCTACCCGGCAGCCTTGCAATGCGCATGATGACGTGGAGCAGACAAAGTTTGTCACTGAATCATCACAAAAACATTATCCTACTTAGTCCTTGGAGGTACCAAACTCTCGAATGGCTGCCAGGCCGACAGACTAATGGCATTGTTTTCGGTTGAGACCACAGATTCCGAGTACGAATTATGAAACGTGACAATGGCTGGTGTTTTTGTGACGCTATTCCAGAAAGTACAAAGAGTGTGGTTGACACCTTCCTTTGGGGCATTGTATTATAAACTTTTCCGGGGCGTGGTGGTTTAATAATTGGGATGAGGCACTTCTTCAATATCAAAGGAGGTGGCTGTTTAACACCCTGGAGGCGGAGTGGAGGCGCTGGCCGGTAACCGACGGGCCGCCCATCGCCCGCAGGTACAGTTAGTGTGCGTCGTCGGCTTTGCCTACGGGAGAGGCGTCGGCGTCGGAGCGAGCGGCGCGATCGAGAGAGGCTCCACGCCGCTCGTAGTAAAAGGAGGTAGCGCGAGAGGCAGGACCAGTTCTCCTACTACCTCGACCAGCACAACAAAAAGCACGCGGCTCCAAGGTCTACTACACGGGTGCGCGGGGCCGCAACAACAGGCGCTATGTAGCCGCTCACCTTCAGAATTCCCCATGGCCGCCCGTTACCGCTCGGAGCGCGAGCGGCGGCGAGGGCGGCGGCGGCGGCGGCGGCGGCGACGGCGGCGACGGCGGCGACGCGAGGCGACAGGGCGGCGTGGCGCGACGCTGGTGGTGGCACGTGCGACCAGGTGGTGCGAGAGCTCGGCGCCGCCGACGCCCACTTCAGAATTCGCACCCTCCAGGGGTTGCTTGGCGGAAGAACCAGCCACCTCAGGCGGCATTATTTCTACAATGGCAACCCCGCTTAGATATTCTCGGTTTCCGTTCCGTGCTCTTGTTGCTAACTTGAAATCAAGCCACGAAAGAGTATAAGGAGACTCGACTTTTTGTACCGTCTTCAATGCGACAATAGTAATTTGTTAAAATATTGGTACTTTAAAGTGGAAATAATGGTATTTTAAAGGGAAAATAATAATTTAATATCCAACCCAGTAACTTACACATCCACTGTTCAGTGGTGTACCCAGTGAAAGGAACAACCGTTCTTGTAGACGTACATTTATGGGTGAACGCAAAAGAATTACATAGCTGAAAGCCTTGATCGAACACCCTCATTCTCACAGCCACCGAAAGCGCCTTCTGTCGCGTTTTCCGCCGCCTTGCGCGCGTGGCGCCTGGCAGGCGGGGTCGCCGCTGCAGCCAACAGCTCCAGCTCGAAGCGCGGCTTCCTGGCGTTTCGCCGCGGGCGCAGCCACCTCTGGAACCCGTAGTCCTCTAGTGGGTCAAGCCGTCCGGGCGCGTCTTCTTTTTCTTCGCTGTTTACGACTGGTCATTCTTATTATTGTTATTTTACTGCCGCCGTCTCTGGTTTGGCGGCGCGCGTAAGCACTTTTCACGGTCCGATGCTCCTGTCGGTTCGAATTGATACCTCGCAGAGTCGCGGGAGTGCCAACGTATTCTATTTATTCTGTTATTCTCATCTCCCAAATCCCTGTAGAGAAGTAGAGCTGTTGTTGAAAGAGAATAAAATAAGTTTTAATGTGCAATACTGACTTTTCTCGCATTGCTTCTCTTTCACGCTGACGACTTCCTCTATTGAAAAAAGTTAATTTGAATCGCAGCCTATTTGATATCACCGGTTTCGTCGCGTGCCAATTTTTGTAGCAGAGTCAACTGGATTACTCAACTTTCAAATGAATGGACGCGTAAAAAGTTCACTGTAAACATACAAGACAATTTGGAAATTTTATTTTTCGTAATTCTCTACCGTACTACCGGAAAGTTGTCTCTTTCTAACGGAAAATAGTGCACGTATTTTATGTGTAAACAACATTACAAACCACGTAAATGGAACCATCCAGCCGACCATGCTACCTCCAAATAGCCAGTGCGTCGTTTAGAGTGCGCTGCTTGGTAATTATCATTTTACTGCGCATCAGAGAGGTATTGTCGATTGGGGTCGACTCAAACAAGAAAACAAAAATCGGATTGAACGATGGCCCGGCCGCCCTCGTCGATAACTTTTCGTTATTTTCCCGATATCGAGCTTCGTTACAACACTGTGACATAACCCCTTCGTTCCGAGAAGTCTTCGCCGCCTCCGATGACGGCGCGGGCGACTGGTTATCGCGGGGCAGGGTGGGGGAGGGGGGCGTCGGGCTGCTTATCTCTTCCACGGCCTGCTTCACCCTCCCAGAGTAGCTGTTTTAGTGAAAAACAAGGAGTCACGTGCCGCGCTGACAGAAGTGCAGATGACGAGAGGGGTAGACAAGCTCAGCACGAACTGAAAAGAAAAAAATCGCGCGCTTTGTGCGGAATAATGTGTTTAGGTTGTGCTTTTTCCTAAATATGTTCGTCGCATCGATTTATAGAGTAGGCTCCCCCTTTTCCTTTTTTTATTACTACTTTCACAGCCTAAAATAAAAATTAACCGTTCAGTCTCATATGTGTCATAATTTCAGTAAAAGAAACGTGGATGTGATTCAGAATAAAATTCGTACATTTTTCAGGGATGTTAAATGATAATCCAAAATGTCTGCTCGTATCTAATAAATTATTGTAAGACGTATCTTCTGTTTGCATCTTCTTGGGAAAGTCGTATTCACGACCGCTGTAGCTTCGAACCCTATTCACAATCGCCAGAAATTAAGAAAACAAACTTCGAGGAATTCTGATGCATTCCCCGAGGAACTGCTAACAAACCGCGGCGTTGACTAAGTCGCAACGAGCAGGTGGACCTTTGCAATGAACTCATGTGTTTACGTGGAATTGTATACGTATTTTCCGCATCATGTCAATAAGAAGCGTCCCAGAACAATAAATAGGCTGCGTAAGCCCGAAAGGCGAGGATAACCCGAAGGAAGCCGCGACGCCGGCGGCGACCACAGGAGCGTCGCGTCGGTGGCGTCATGCGGTGCGCGGCAAACCACGATGCTGACGCTGTCGAAGGACGTCGTCGCGACCGATGCTGCCAACTCTTCGCGCCAAACCGTCGTCGTTCCTTGCTGCCCGTTTAAACGTCACAACGATTCGCCCCTACCCCGGGTGACTGTTTGAAAATTGACAAAATTGCAACTTCTTCTGGGATTTGGGGTGAAAAAAATTGTGACGACGGTTTGTGTGTCTCATTTCTCTACAGTATCATGAGGATGATGCAAATAATGTAAAAGTTATACATCGTGCTTTGAGTTAGCTATTCATTTATATCCTCTCTTTATTACAAAAAATAATGATCCAATGGTGAATAATTGTACTCAACTATTAAAAGAAACTTATTGGACATACGTTTTGTCTCTACGGAATAGTGTCTCAGAAAATGAACTTAATACGGGGTGGGGTCCGTCCTACATTTTATCATTCGCAAAATAATTTTATAACAGATGGCTTGGGGCATTTAGTGAAATAACGTTTTCTTCAGATATTAAGGTACTACCACTGCCACCACTATGACCACCACCGCTATCCCCATCAGCGCCATCGCCACATTGCGACCGCCACCGCGTCCACCGCCGCCGCCGCCACAGACGTCGCCCGCGCCGCGCCGAGTCGGTCGCCCCGCAGCCACATCCTGCGGATTCGGGGTGACTGCGCGCCGCGAAGTGGCGTTCGAGGAAAGCGAGGCGCGAACGCAACGCGTCGCAGAACAAAGAGGCCGCCGCCGACGCGTTATCACAGGCCAGACGCGTACTTCCCCCTCGGGCCTTCGCGGCGCCCGCCCTCCGCGGATGAGGTGGTCGGCGACAGGTCGCGCGCGGGCTGCCCGGCTCGGGGTCCGGGAGGGGCGATGCGACGAGGAGTCACCCGAAGGAAAAAGAATGACGTGTGAATTTAAAAGTCGGTGTCGTCCCCCGCGGTTGGGGATCCGCGACGTGACAAGCTCACGTTCTCCACGGGGCGACACGCCGTGGAAAACCGAATTTGATAACGCGTGTTGATTCGCGACGTTGTTGTTAGTATACAATCTTCTACATAATTTTGGCAACGGAATAATTGTCTCTCGTAGCCCCTCTTCTTCATGTTTTATTACAACACACATTCATATAATAATTTCTGCTGTGAATTAATTGAAAATAACAGTAAAAAACTATTATGAAAAAAACAACATATTTTAACTAGAAAAAAATTGGCGTTAATGTTCATAGCGTACAACTGTCTTTGTATTCATGCTTTATGACGTTTCTTTTTTATATTATCACAAACAGGTGTCACAAGCATGCAGTGTCTTTCTGTCATCATTTCCTCTGTTGTTTCACCTACTTTCTCAAACATCTTTCCTCATTAGTTCGTTTCTTGAAGTTTGTTTTCAGAGTAATTATTATGAAACTTTTCCTCAAATATTTCCTCTTTGGCATTCCCGAAATTGTGAAAATTATACTCACTTCTACATTCCGTCATTATTTCTTGTATTGAGTCATAAAATATAAATATTTCGAAAATATAGTTGGCGAGTCTAGAATGATAATTCCCTAAAATTACGTTGCAGGAAGCGTGTACTAATTATATAATTTTACGATGTGTATTGGGGCGTGAAAGAACATTTCCTGGCCGCGTTCATCCCAACATCAGTGTAAACTCTCGTCTCAGTTTGAAGAGGACTATAAACAATTCCAATTATCTAATATTTCCAATAAGAGAGGACCGAGGGCCTGAATACCCAGCGACTATCCGGGAAACCTGGAGGAGGACCCTAGATATTTCGAGATATTATGCAACCTCATCTCGAACTGAAAGGAAAATGCCAAAAATTAAGCTGTAGAAGACTTGTTGAGATTGCACAGCACTCCCGGGCGTATAGTGAAAATAAATAAAAAAAGGTAAAACGAATGCGACATATCAATGTTTGAGTTATCGAGATTCAAGATATCGAGGTTCGAGTAATCGGGGTTACAGTTGTCGTGATCGTGTTTTGATAGTTCGAATTATCGAGGTTCGAGTTACGAGTGCTTGATGTGCTCTTAAGGTGTGGGTTCAATACGTGATAATAAGGTCTGAGCTATTGAGGGATCTCGCAGTACGAACGTGAAGTTGAGGTTGTACGATATTATTTCGTCTCTGAGTTGAGCACCGGGAACCCTCTCCGTTCACGTTGCCCCCGCTCTCGTTCACGCGACACTTGACACCTGTCCGTCGCAGTCCACTCAGTCCAACAGCCCACTCGCGCCGCGCGTGCGTCGTAAACGTCCCCGTTTCACGCGACGTCTCATTCACGTCCAGCTGAATCACGCGCCCGCGGCGTGGCGCGGTGCCGCACGCTGGGTCGCGCAGCGACAAAACAAAAATTCGCACACGCATCACAACCCGCTACTAATTAATGGCACGAAAACTGCAATCGGCGTCTCCGCAGATATAATGCAAACCGCAAATGCAATTTATCCTTCCATATTCTACGGTGTGGTTACTACATTAGAATGCTTCTCCTATAAATGGTGACATTTTGAAATTTCAATATATTAGGATTGTTAATTAACAATCACTGAAAGTGCAGTGAAACTTGCAACTTATTAGAGTGATGATGGGACAGTCTGACACCCTTGTACACTAAAAACAAATGTTATTTTTAATGTTTTGTTAATATTCTTATCTAATTTAAATTCAAATACTGCCTTCGCCTTCTTGGAATGATTCTTTCTCAGAAAGGAAGTCAGAACAATCATCATACTCTTCACCAGAAATGCCTGCAATTTTCTACTCCAGTGGACCCAAAGCGTGTTGGAGACTGCTTCCGTAGCTTTTCTCTCTCTCCTGGCTCGCTCGTTGCCAAGGTGAAGGTGACATTTTGCCCCACTGTCTGGGATGGGCGCGCACACACGCGTCGCGTGGCGAAACCAACGACGCCGACGGCCGTCTCAC